TGCTATAGACTTTGAAAACCAAGTTCACCCCCACACCACAACTTTATCAGAGGATTAAAATAATGTTCTGAATATTAAGAACTTCAAGGTGTTAATTATGCATGCCCTTTTAAAAAACTCTTTTTTTCTTCTATTGCAACAAATGAATTTGTAAATGTAATATATTCCTATAAGAACACAACTGAAATAATTCAATTCAATACAATTCAATTTGAGAACAGCAATGAAATTCCTTGAGCAATAGCACTTATGAATATCAGAATAATTTTGATTCAGTTAGACTAGAATTTGTTGAAAAGAGAAGAATTAAAAAGCAGGAACCACCCAAAATAGGGAAATGCCCAAACATTAGCAGATTAAATGTGGAAATGAAAGTGATAGAGATAGGATGAGTCTCTTATTTGCTTGCCACTGGCCTGCTTACAATGTGGCTTCTGCCTATAATTCTAGGCTTATTACATATGTGACAAAGCTGTCTCACACAGGCAAAATGGGGCTATCATTTTGTGGCTTGAAAGGAAACAGGGTAAACACATCTAGTTTCTTCTCCCTGTGTCCCTGTCTAAAGGAGACTTTAATTCCTGCCAGGAAGGGATGTAGGAGGTTGGGGCCAGAAGCTTTGGCCACTTTCCTCTCCTCAAAGAGAAGGGGTATTGGAATAGAATGATAATCTACCTGCTTCCTAAAATACTGTTAGTCTAGGGGATTAGTTTTCAGGTTCAAGGTAAACTTCTGATCAGTGTTCATTAGTGGGGAAAAGAGGAACCTAAGTTCTATTTCCAAAGCTTGACTTCCTTCCCACCAGATACTACTTCCACAATGAATATAAATAGAAATTTGGAAAGAAACTAATTTATCCAAGTTGATAGTAAGACAGAAATCAGAGAAAGTACACATAGGATAATATATTTCAGACAATACAGAGTGAAGGAGCTCTCCCATTGGGATTGATGATGTAACTCAGTTGAACCAAGACAGAGTCCCAGATCTCACTCAAAGGGAAATTCGTCCAAAGTCTCCAGTGTAGTAAGCTGGGGAGAAGAAAATGATGGAGGCTGCCAGCTCCATTCATGTGGCTTCTTCCCATGGTCTTATTCTCCCCTTCAGCACCCTGAAGCAGGGTTGGCATTGTCCACCTTCTCTCTCAATGCTGGAAGCCAGAAGCACTCAAATTTCAAAGAGACTAAAGAACCCAAAGAGACTCAATAAAAGAAACCCAAGAACTCTCCTCTCCCATGTTCTTGTCCCACTCTGCCCTGCCCCTCATAGAGGCATGGGGGCACCAATCTCCACCAATGAGGAGAGTGTCCCATATCAATCGGCTTTGGGATTTAGGTTACACATATCATTTCCTTCAGGAATTCCATGGTCTTGACAAACTGGTATACTTACTGTTTCTTACTTATGACATGCCATTCTCCTGTCTCCGTTCATTTGCAGATGCTTCCTGCAATGCCCAGAATAAGTTCCCTCCCCACTTATGCCTCTTAGAATCCTTAGCATCCTTGAAAGTTCAGCTCCCCTTGCCTTCCCTCCTCGCTGCTAATGATGAAATTTGTATATATTTTGTACTTAGGAGTGTATCTATTATTTCTTTAGATAGAATGTAAGCTCCTTGAGGGCAGGCACTGTCACTTTTATCTCCAGTGCTCATCACACTTCTTGCCACATAGTAGGCAGTGAACAAATATTGACTCATTAATTGCTACTACCCAGAATATCACCCAGTGGTCTGGGTGATGTTTGGGGGGTGAAATTGCTCCCTATGACAATGTTATCTAAAGATATCACCGCATCGTCCAGACCAGAGCAGCACTGATAACAAGGTGATGTGGGGAGGAGAGGAAGAAGCAGCAGAATTTATAAATTAAAGGAGGCTGGAAGGAAACAAAAATAGTGATGGCAAAATGGGAGAACAGGTTCTGTTAGTACTGACTGAGCACCCTCCTGGGGGGAGCTAAGGCACAAAAAAAGCTAAAAGAAAGAGACAGTAAGGAAAGAACAAAACGAAATCAAAAATTGTAGAAAGGGAAGGAAATCACCAAGGACAGCCACTCAGTTACTTCTATTGAAAACAGTTTTTCTAACTCAAAAAACTAGAGAGACTAGACACATGTCAGGTCATGGAGACCCTTTCAAAACTGCTTGTTGCTCAAAAGTGATGGGGGAAAAATTCAGAACATGGCCATTTTCCTGTTTCCAGTTCTCCCCCACTGACTGAAAACAGGGAATGGTTTTCTAAAATAGAGAAATTGTTATTTAAAAGTGAGAGAAGGCCCAGCAGGGAGAAGTAGTGATGGGAGTGAACAGTCCTCCTGGGAATAAGGCAGGGTGGGGAGGGGGTTCATGATTATGCCATATGTCACCGGCAGTCTATCAGGGATAGGGAGTTGCAAATATCATCTTCAACTGGCCCTGGCAAAAGTGAGGATATGTTGGTAACAGGGAAAAGTACCATGCATGTACATACATACATTCATACGTAAAACTATACGTATGTATGCATGTACGTGTTCAGTGCTTATCAACCCCAAGCTGCCTCTCATGCAGGCATGGGGCATTAATCCCCACACCAGTGAGGAGAAAGCCCCATACCAATGGGCTTTGGGACTCACATTACATATATTACTGCCTTCAGGAGTTCTGTGGTCTTGAACCTAAGATTTCTAAGAGGCACAGGTGATGAGAGAGTATATTCCATATGCATATGTAAATGTACATGTGTGTGTGTGTACAAAGACTCTTTGCTTCTCTGTAATTCATATACATGAACATATGTATATGTTATATATAAGTATGTATTATATATAAGTATATGTGTATATATCTATATATATCATATACACAGTACATATATACACTCATATACAAACACACATACCATTTACTTCTTTGGCAATTTCTTTGTGTGTGTGTGTGCGTATGCGTGCACGCACACACACACACACACACACACACACACACACACACACACACACACAAGCTTTTCCTGATTGTAGTCTAGGACTTACAGCTCATATGTCAGGAAGAATCCTCATATATCATATTTTCTCTCTCTCCCACAAATACAGACATTCTTAACCTTTTCAGTGTCATGGATTCCTCTGGCAGTTTGATGAAGCCTATGGTCCCCATCACAGAACAGTGTTTTTAAAAGCATAAAATAAACTACCGTAAGATTACAAAAGAAATAATTTCTATTGAAACACAGTAATCAAAATATCTTTTAACAATGTTCCCAGACCCCAGTTAAGAATCCCTGCTCTAATGTACTGTATTCTCTATGAAATGTGCAGCTTGAGCCCTTAGCCAGTCTGTGTGAAAAATGCAACTTTGTGTTTATAAAACCCTAGACTTTAAATCTGGGTCTGTCCTGGGGTTATATCTTCCTTTAGTTCCCAATCTTACTGCTAGATTTAAGTAAGCAGAATTGTCCAGGGTCAAACAGCCATACATTTTAATACATTGTGACACACTTACTGAGAAAATGTTTAAACTAATGTAACCTTTGTCCTCCAAACCCAACGGTATGGAACTCTCTGCTCATTGGTGGAAATGAATGCTCTGTCCCATGTGAGGGTTGGGGCAGAGTTGGAAAGAAGAGAGAGCTCCTTTCTTCCCTGTTGCCCTTTGGAATTCTTCAGAGCTAGTCATAAAGATGCTAAATTAGGCTTGATGTTAGCAGAAAAAAAAATTCCTACAAATTTGCTTATCTAAAAGGGAAATGGGTTGCCCCAAGAGATGGTAGGTACCTCCTTATCAGAGGTCTTCAAGCTCTAAGTAGATGGCCACTTGGGTGTTATATTATCATGGGGATGCTTTTGTTTGGCAAGGGTTGGAACAGATAGAAGCTCAGGTACCTTTCAATTTTTAGATCTGACTAAGTTCACTGACTAATGTTCTTTGTGTGGCCATTATGTCACTATCACACTTTTTAGCCATCTAACATCAACATCAGTTGCCTGGCTACTGGTAACATCATGTGGTTACTGTTCAAAACGATATTTCTCCTACAAAATTTATGTATTTAATTGATTGTTCTAGTCAGCCTTGAGATTATTTGGCAAAGGCTGATTTTAGCCAAATCTGGACTTTAGCTAAATAACATATATATATATATATATATATGTATATGTGCACATATATACACATATGCCTATATACATATATAACATAACATAACATTATATAACTATCTATCTATCCATCCATCTATCTATCTCAAATAACTTATAACTCTGTGGTTATATAAAATCAATCCAAATGTAAAAAGACATGAATTTTACAACACTAAGAAAAAGCCAGTTGAATACTGGCAAGTTAAAATCCATAATAAATGGTAAAATGCCTAAATCAGGGGGTGGTACTGGAATTGCCTATTAAAGCCCATTATTACAATTTCATTTTTCTACATTGACAACTGGAGAGGAAAGTAAACAACATTTCAATGAAGCTGGCAAACAGGACTATGCTTGGAGGTGCTGAGGGCAGGCATTATGGCCAAATTGTCTGAGGAAATTGGAAATATGAGTAGAAAATAAAATGCATTTCAATTTGAAAAAATACAAGTTAACACATGTGGATGTGGAAACAATCCTGTCAAAGGAAATTCATGGAAATATTGGGTAATAAACAAAATCACTTGATTAATTCAACTTTAATTCACATGCAGAGAATAGGCTCTACACAGGTATTCTGTGATAGCCTGGGATGAAACTCCAAGTCTAAAGTTTCAGGTTTTCAATTTTATTTTTAATTTGTAGATACTAACCTGAATTTTATGATCACTCTGCATTCACATAGCCCACATGTACTCAGACCCTCCATGCTTAAAATTTGGGTAGAGGTTAAACTACACATTAATCCATTATTTTAATTTCCCTAAACATTCATTACCAGCAGGCAGTACATTTAGTTTTTTAGACTACAAAATAACAGCTTTGAATTCTAGAACACACAAAAGGCTTCTGTGTGCTGAATGGCTGTTGCCAGAGAGCTGTGGAACACATGCAAAGTTAAAGGCATGGTGACCTGTACAGGACTGTGCTGTTTAGAATAGAAGGAACAAAATGGGAAAGTAAGTAAAGGCTCCTTAGTTTGGGTCCCACGTATTTGGAATAATGAAAAGCAGCTTTGTTAATATATAGTATCCCCCCCCATGTTAACCTAAATGCTAGAGAAATGCGTTATCAAGTCTACAAGCATTTATTAAATACCTACTCTATTCTGGAGACACAAAGAAAGGCAAAGAGTTCCTGCTGTCAAGGAGCTCTCAGAAGACAACACAAAATAATTGTGTACCAACAAGATACACATAAGATTGACTGGAGATTATCACAAAAGGAAGGTGCTAAGATCAAGGATGGGGAAAGGCATCTTATAGAAGTTGAGCCTCATAGAAGTGAAGAGATGGAGAGAGAGGGAAAGGAAGAGAGGAAGAGGGAGAGGGAGAGGGAGATAGAGAGGGAAAGAGAGAGAGAGAGAGAGATGGCCAGTGAGTGAAAATGCCCAGGGTAGGGAAATACAAGGAGTAAGGAGGTCAGTGCCATTACAATCATTATTTGTTATTATCATCTGAGTCCCACTAATTCATTAATTACATCACTCCACAATGCCACTGGCTCTCTTTGAAAATGAAGGACAAACAACAACTTAGGACTTCAGAGGAATAACGGCTGAAACTTATTATACTACCTGTGATTTAAAAAAAAATGGCAAATGGCAAATCTGAACAAGATTTCAGGGAGAATGTTTTTCTTATCTCAAAGTGACCTGTTTTTGACCACTTTAGAAACACCCAAGTACATGTAAACCTTATATTACTTACAGAGTCCTTTGCCCATTCACTGGCTTCCTCAGTTCACTCTCTCATTCATCCATTACATCCAATAGATATTATTCAGAGTAGACTATATGGAAAACACCAAGAGAATCCCAAGTGTTCTTGTTAGTATTCTGGGTCCCTGTTCCACAAGGTATTACGAATTTAGACTTTCTGTGTCCTACTTCTGCTTTCCTTGGAGATGGGAGGCTTATTATAAGACAATGATTTTCTAGGATGTCAACATTTACAGTTGAAGAGACTGAAGAGAATGGAAATGAAATGGGTGTTGAAATTAGGAAGTGACTGGGACTTTGCATCTTATGTTTCATGTACTTAAGGCTCTTTGATTTTACTATGCTTTCCCCTAATCTAATTATATTGTTTAACTATGATTTTAAGGTTTATGTGACTGAAACAAATACTGGATCTTGAAGGAATAGGTATGGTTGGCAGGTTGGAGCAAAAGACCGGGCTAGGCAAATAATGATTGGCTGATACTCTTGGATTGAGCCTGGTATGACAATAGGGTAGGAGCAGAGTGCTGGATGACTGACCATCTACTTATAGGCCCCATCCTTCTTACTTGTCCCATGTTATTGGTTGCTAATAAAGCAATCCATTATAGTTGGATCTCTCCTCCTCTCTGTCTGTCTGTCTGTCTGTCTGTCTGTCTCTCTCTCTCTCTCACACACACACACACACACACACACACACACACACACACTCATAAATGTTGCAGATAATCACAAACTCTAAACAGCAGCTCTAAAGGAGAGTGTCCTCAGGCTTGAATTTTGAAGATTACCAAGAAGTTAAGGCAGCTGGAATGGCTTCTAGTACTAAGATATTTGGAGTACAGAAATGAATACAATTTAATTGGAGAAATTTGGAGGAAAATATGTGCTCCAGGAAATATGCTGAGGCCTCCATAAAAACAAATGCTTGCTTTTTTAAATGCAGCCTTAAAAAGAACTCTGCATCACTAAAAACTGTAGCTCTTAGTTTATGTAAGCCAGTTTTATTAAAAAAAAAACATGAGCACAGAGAGTATTGTAATGTGTAATAACTGTATAAAAATAATACCACAGAAGGGGTGTCATTGAGGAAAAAAACAAAAACATACTTTAGGAACAAGCCAATCAGAGCAGTATTGAATTTGAGTGTCATCTTCAAATCTTTCCATAAAATTTGCATTGATTAACTAAAAACTATAAGAGGTTTTGCCAAGGTCTCCCTGGTTGAAAAAAACTGGAGTTTGGGTAATTTATAAAAAAAACCTACATTCCTTTGATTCATTTCAACTAAAGTTTCTCATAAGCTTTGTGTTATTTTGGGGCCTTTTTACACGAGTTTCACTAAAGTCATTTGTCATGAAAAAAATAGAAGATTGCATTCTACTGCAGGTAAATTAACTTGTGCACAGAATGTATGGGGCACAAACTAAATCACACACACACACACGCAAATTATTGAGTGGGTTGCACGTTGGCAAACAACTTCCATTTCTTCTTCTCAGTGTAACTAGCTTGGCTAAGTGATGATGAAGTGATTCTCAAAGGAGTTGATGCCATTTGAACTTTTAAATGCCTGAAAGCATGAAAGAGCATTTCTTAAAATAGACTGAGCTCAAATTCTGTGATTTTTAATTGTTAAGGAGAAAAATTTCCCATGTCTTTGGCTGAGTTCAATATATTTACCCTTCTTGGGAAACCAGTAAGGGAGAAAACAAACAAAAACAACCTTAGTGATAGAAATGTCTTTTTGATGGGAGTAAAGGTACACATACATATACAAATACACATATTCAAATTCAAAACATATTTTTTTCTTCATAGGAACACTAAAAAGCACCTTCAAGATCATCTAGTCCAGGGGTTCTGAATATAGTTCCATGCACTTAAAACTATGATAACTATATTTCTATATAACTGGTTTCCTTAGTAATCTTTTGAATTTATTTTACGTAGTCAAAAATATTATGCTGAAAAGGGATTCATAAACTTTATCAAACTGCCCATGGAGTTTATGACACAAATAAGGTTAAGAATCTCTGTTCTAGTCCAACTTCATTACTGAATGGAGGAGGAAATTGAGGACCAGAAGTCAAATGACTTGCCTAAGATCACACAGCTAGCAATAGTAGAATTATTTCTGCCAGTTTTTCCAGATGAAATACTCTGCCCAATGTACCACACTGCTTCTTCCTTAAATTTCTATTTTGTTCAATTCTTTTGTTGATTTGTCATCAAATCAATATTAGTCATGTTATAAAAGAAAACACAGGCTGCCCTCACCCCCAAAAAACCCACCAAGAAAAATGAAGTAAAAAAAAATATGTTTTAATCTGCACTCAGGCTCCATCAGCCCTTTCTCTGGATGTTGATAGCATTTTTCATCATGAGTCCTTTGGAACTATCTTAGATAATTGTGTTGCTGAGAATAGCTAAGTCATTCACAACTGATCATTGTACAATGCTGTAGTTTCTGTGGACAATGTTTTTCTGGTTTTGCTTACTTCACTTTGCATCAGTTCATGTAAATCTTTCCAGATTTTTCTGAAAGCATCCTGCTTGTCATTTCTTAGAGCACAGTAGCATTCCATCACAATCATATACTACAACTTGGTCAGCCATTCCCCAACCAATGGACATCCCCTCAATTTCCAATTCTTTGCCACCAATGAAAGCTGTGGGAGGTGGTAGTGACCAGTACGGTGCCTAGGCACTCAAGAGCTCCAAGGTCCCTGGCACACTGTCCTCAGATGACACAGAGGACCCTGAAGAATGAGAGTTCTGAACCTCAAAGATCCAGGGCCTAATCCTGGGAAGTTGAGTTCAGTGGCCTAACCCAGGTGACCAAAGGGGAGACCAAACAGGGCAGACCACCCTGCTCAAAAGTGCAACAGTAGGCAGAGCTTGAGCCTGGCACAGAGCTTTTATTCAAGAACTAAAACTGGAGAAATTTAGTAAACCAAAGGAGACACAGACCAGTTTTTTAAAATTACTGTAGGCTAGACCTACATTTGGTTGCTCCCAAATCTAGCCTAGGAGACAGGGAATATACCAACTATAAGCAGAGACTCAAGGAAAAATGGATTTTCCACAACATATACATGAATACCTAGAAGAAGTGAAGGAAGAGATAAAAAAAATGAAATAAAGTTCCCAGAGAAAAGGATTGGAAGGAGAATAAATGGTTCACTGGTTGTTGTCCTTCATTCTTGAGGAAGACCAAAATGACTTCACTGTGCTGGAGTTAAGGTACAGTGTGTCTGACTGTGGCTGATCAGACCAATGTGAGCTTGGAAGGCTCGACCACAGGTCAGGCACAAATAGTCCATACATATGAACATTTAGAGAGCTGTCTCTCAATTTGCACGTCTCATGTTTCCTTTGAGCTACTGCAGTCCTGCTTTGCCATAGAGCGTAACATCTTTGATGCAGGCACACCATGCTAGGCGATCCTATGCAGTGCTTCCCATGTCTTACAATTGATTCCAAAGTTCTTCAGAGATGCTTTGAGAGTGTCCTTGTATTGCTTCCTCTGACCTTCACGTGAGTGTCGGACTTGTGAGAGTTTACTATAAAATAGTCTTTTAGGTAAGCATGCATTTGGCATTCAAAGGAGAATATATAGCTTATAAGAGATAGTGGTAAACCTGACCTAAGTAATGGACTCCCTGAAAACTAGAATAGATGAAATAGAAATTAATGACCCCATGAGACAAGAAGAAATATTAGAACAATATAACAAGATTTTGAAGCAGAAAATGTAAGATAACTGATGTAAAAAACAATTGACTTGAAAAATAGGTTAAGGAGAGATAATTTAAGAGTCACAGATGCCCAGGGAAACCATGCTAAAAAAAAAAACCCAAGAAGAAGCTTAGATACTCTGTATCAAGAAACTATACATTTAAATTGCCCAGAGGGTAAAGTGAAGCTGGAATGTATCCACTTATTACCCCCTGAAAGAAATTCCAATAGGATCACTCCTAGAAATGTCACAGTCAAATTTCAGGGCTTCCATATAAAAAATTTTAAAAAATAGAGAAAAGATTAGGACCAAATGGTAGTATAGCAGTTGTATGGCTATCAGAAAAAAGGATACTAACAGATGAGTAATACTTAGACCGTAATGAATGATGCTGCTTCCCTTTGGCATTGTGCAATAGAATGTGTACTGAATTTAGAGTCAGAAGATCTGGGTGCAAACATCAGCCCTGGTGAATGAACCTGTGAGACCTTGGACAATTTACTATCTCTGGGATTCAGTTTCCTCATCTGTAAAATGAGGGGGTAGGACTCAATGGTTTCTAAGATCCCTTTTAGCTCAAAATCAATGATCCTATAACTTACAAGAGGAAGACAAGGTGATTAAATGACTGGGTTTATGTTTGACTGCCACGGAATGATCTCAAACTCTTAGGAAGGTCTTAAAATAATGTTTTGAATGAAAACAACCCCCCCAAAAAAACCTGAATTGGCAACAGAGTAAAGTCCAAATTTCTTAGAATGAAATTCAAGACTGTACCATACTCTGGCCTCTACATATTTCAAACTGTCAGTCAACAAGCATTTATTAAGAGCTTACTATGTATCAGGCACCATGCTAAGCACTGGGAAAATAAATTACAAGCAAAAAAGGAAGAGATCCCCTGCCTTCCAAGAGTTTACATTCTAATAGGAAAGATAACATTGGGGGTGAGGACAAGGTACAGAGCTTGAGGGCATGATGGAACAGTCTGGAGGAGTGCAGCCTGGTGGAAAATGATGACATGACATATTAAATGGAGGTTCTAGAAGAGCAATTCAATCAGAGGGAGGGCCCTGGGGCACAGGGTGCTTTTGAGAGTAAATTCTTGGGCTACATCGAAGTCCAGGGGAGTGCAGTCTAATGGGAAATGAATTTATCTCTCATTATTCCCCAACATGAATCCTCTTCTCTTTCCAAATTAATCTGTCTCAGTGATTTTTCCTCCTACCAGCTGGTAAGCAGCAAACAATTGTTACATGTCAGTAGGCTTGTCAAAAGATGAATATTTGCCAGCACATAGCATTCTTAGACCTTGGGGCTAAAATCGAGCATGAAGTGAAATGAATGTGAAAGAAATGTGTGCCTCATTAAGTTCAGTCTGGGTTTCTCTTCCTCTTGACCTTGTTACAAAATTTCTCTCTTCTTCTCTAACAGAAAGTTTGAATTCCATGCTATTACAATGTTACTATATGGTTGGAGCTTCATTTGTTTTATGTTTTAACCAGGATTAAATGGTTAATCATTGTGAATTATACAATACAATTTCCCCTCATTTTCTTCAGGTCATATGGTAATATAAAATGTTACCCTAAAATATTCAAAATTGCTGATCCCCCAATTATTTTTAGGGGAAGTGCTAATCAATTCGAACATGACATATTTCCATCACTTTGTCTTTGACTGCTTTGTTCTCTCATGTTTGTTTCCCCTCTCTTCTCTCTCTGCTTGTCCAGGGTGTCTCTATATTTTGCGATCTAACTCAAGTTCCATATCCTCTGTTATGCCTTCCCTAGCACTAGAGCCATAACTAGGGTACAGCAATCATAGCTTTCCCCAGTTTTCTGAAATTTATAGGGTGCTAACAGTACTTATACTCCTCTAAGCATTTGGAAAAAACTGAGATTAGCACCTTTTTAGTAGGAATTTTTTTTGGGGGGGAGGAGGAGTGTTGGTTCAGGGCATGTGATTTCATCAATATGGCAACGTCTAGCACAGAAAGTCTCTACATGAATCAGATCAGCGTCTTCTCTTGATTATAGTCAGAGAGGTTCCTGGAGGCACTAAGAATTTAATTGACTTACTTAGAGTCACACTGCCAGCTTGTTTCAGAGGAATAAATCAAACTCAGATCTTTTGATTCTAAATCCAACCCACCACATGACACTACTACTAATGACCAAGAATGATCAGTTTAAAAAGGAAGCCACACTTGAGGAGCTTCTTGCTGTAAGGCTGTAATCCAAGAAGAGCCTCTCTTTGGCCTCGTCCCTTCCTGCCTTGTACCTCTAGTGGATACATGGTCTAGTGGATAGATTCCAGGACTTGCAGTCAGGAAGACCTGGGTTCAAATTCTGCCTTAGAGAATTTCTAGTTGTGTTATGCTTGGTAAGTCACTTTACATCTCTGGTCCTCAGTTTCCTCACATGTAAAACAAGAAGGCTAGGTTTGATGACCCATAAGGTCTTTTCCAGTTCTAAATCTATGATCTTATCATCCTATGCCTATACTCCCAAACTCTAAAACAGGTCCTTACTGATGAGGCTCTTATCCCATTCCAAAGTCAGACACCTCAGGTCTCTTTCAAGGTCCCCAGCCCTACTATTCCTCAACTGAACCTGTCTTAAGACATTTGAAGGCATCTTTCATGATGCTTTCCCAGCATAAGTTTTGGTTCTCCTTGAGGACAAGACTACTTTCATTTCCCCACTGAAGCTACCAGTTCCTAGTTAGGATCCTGGCCTAGATTTCCTTCCCCTTCTCCAATTCCCACCTCAAAGAACATTTAGGTTACCTAATGGGACTTGTTGATCCCCTTTGGCTCTAAAATGATGTTGATTAACTTCTAAAGACTCATAGGTCTAGATTCCTGTGAAGTTACCCCTTAGGCTTCCATGTACCATGAAGATTCCCTCTCCCCCTGGTTTCCACCCTTAGAGAAGTCCAATCCTAAAACAAGGCAGCTGAGGCAAAGTCTGGCCATAGGCTCTGAAGTCAAATGCTACTTCTGAGGCTTAGTATGTGTTAGATTTTGGGAAAATCACTTAACCTTCCTTAGCCTCAGTGTCTACATCTATAAAATGAGGGGATTGGACTGAGTGGTCTTTGAGGTAGTTTTCAGCTCTAAATCTATGCTCCCATGACTTCATTAATTTAAACTGGGCTCTCCTGAGTCCCCTCGAGGAGTCAGAACTGAAATATTTCTTTGATTTCTTTGTGCCTCAGTTGTCCTTTCTGAATGATGGGAGAATTGTTTCTGTACAGTGTACTTATAAAGGAACACATTGTATTTATTCCTTTAAGAGTTAAGAAAATATACAAAAAAAAATCACTAACCTGGCAAAACCACACACACACATCATCTTGCATTGCTGAGCTAAGAGAGAAAGGTTGGAACAATGCTATGTATTTACATTTTTAATTTAACATGGGTCAAATGGGCACCTACTATGCGCTGGTACTTAACACAACCATGCTGGTAGTGAATTTCCCAATACTCAGATATAATTTTAAGCCTAAAAACTTGGACTTAAAAATAGCGCAGTCAACAGCAAAGACAGATACTATCAGGACATTTCTGTCTACAATTCATACTTCAGTTTCTGTTTTGTCACTTCCAAAAGAAAATAATGAGATTGTATTGCAGGATTTCCAGTCTTTTTTTTTTAAAGATGTCAGTAACATAGAAGTTTCCCCCCCCCAAGAATTACATATTTTTTGAATTTGTCTAATGTACTGAAATAAGATGACTTTGGAGTTTTCTCTTTTCACCTCAAAATTAATCTTAATATCTGCACCACACACATCCACACCCACCCATACCCATACCCACATTGCTGGAAACATCCCTCCTCCCCCCATCTTGGAATGAAAAGTAAGTACCACTGAAAAATAGCTACAAGAATATTCAAAGAATACATGAAGAACCTTTGTCATTAAATTACTAATACCTAAGCAAGCATTACAGTTCTCATGAAATTGATCAACTCATTTAGATTACCTGAGTCAAAGATTCTTCTATTCCCAAGTTCATTCCTAGCCTCAGTTTCTTGAAAAAGAAATTTGGATTAAACACCAATAAGCCAGTGAAGAAGCCAGGAAATGCTCACAAGCCATCTTTGTTCTTAGAAAAATGCAGAAGGTAAACCATGCAAATTAACTGGGTGATACTTGCTAGGAAAATCTGTGGTGCTTCCCATGATCAGCCAAAGAATAAGGCAGGAAGGAAGGAAAGCTCAACAGCCAGTTTTAATGTTTGCTCCTCTTCCCAGTTTCAACGGAATGATACTGACAAAGAGCTGTGAAATCCCAGACAACTGAGATGAGACAACCCATCAACATGAAACATAAAAAGCAAGGGAGAAGGACCCAAAGTCATTTAAAACTGTCTTATTCAGGGAAACTTCTCTCGGGGGAAAACTTACCTGGATCCTCATATTTTACCTGGATTCTGAGATTTGCTTTTTAAAGAAAGAAAAATTCTTTCTTTCCCAAGTCTAGCTCTTGTAACACAAAGATGCTTTTGGACTTAAAGAATACAATCTCTTCCTGTCCTTTCTTGTCAGTTCCAGACTATCAAATTTGCTTGGCCAAATGTTCAAAAGCAGCACAAACAGACCTTAACTGGCCCTGGGTAGGGGAAGGAGGATCCCGAGGGAGCTCACAGTATTGGGAGAGAGATCTCTGAGGAGCGTACCAATCCATTACTGCTTTTCTTGGGGATAGGTAAGGATGATTGTAGGGCACAGTTAGTTAGTTATGCATGGAAAGAGAAATAAGATTCCTCCCTGGTCTCCTCCTGCCTCCCCTTGTTAAAAGCCCTGCCTTGATGTTATTTTGTTTCTTACAGATTCTACATATGAAATTGCACCATCTCTAGGCACAGCACTAAAACCCCATGCATGTATTACTTCATGTACATGTGTGATTTAGCTGCATACATGTTATCTGAGGGTACAGATTCCATAGAGCTGTACTTGTGTGACTGTCACTAATAAACAGGGCTAGTGCCATCTCCTTTCACACTGGCAGAACAGATCCAGATGGTCCCCTTTGCCTTTTTATAACCTCACTCACTAACTTGAAACGTGCCACTTTCAGTGCCCATCCTTGTCAGGTGGCATTTCCCTAGGTATCTGGAGGAGACATTTTCCAGGCAGACATCTAGAGGAGAAGAAAGCTGGACTGTGGAAGCTACCCAAGTGCCTGACACAAACCCAGATGCCAGCCTACAGATGACGTCAAGGGGAGAACTGGCAGAAGGTTTTGCTAATTACTCACAGGAGATTTTAATCCTGGCTGCCTAACAAATGGGGATCAAAATCTAAGTTCATATTTATAAAAACATATGCATATGTAAATATACATATGTATATACACATACATGTACATATGTATATGTCATGTATCCTTGAATCAGAGTTACTGTTAAATATTTTGGAATGATTATAATATCAGAATGATAATCTACTATTTTTCAAAATACCAATTCTTTTACCTTTACTTACTTACTGAGTTGCTATTATGTGTGAGGCACTGAGACCACACAATGGAATCAAGGGTCAGAAGGAAGGATTGATTTACTAGGAAAAATCAACAGGAATCATCTTTCCTGTAAGGCTACCTATCTGGTCTTGAGAAGTGAAGAGGTAGGAAGGAAATCAGAATGTGCAATGGTACCCAGAGTTTAAGACTATTAACAATTGGGTTTTTGCATAATAGGCCTTTACGTAATATGGACGCTGCCAATAGACTGGGTCACTGTGCATGGAATTTACCTTATGAGATAAATAAATTTACTGTTATTCATTCAAATAAGCAATTATGAAGCCCTACCTATGTGCTAACAACAGGGGATACAGAAACAAAATTATAAACTAGACCCTTTCTCTCGCCCACCCTAAAGCCTATTACCCAGTTCCCCCCCCCCGGTAAGTAGTTTTCACTGACCCCTCCTTGGTTATATACACTTCTTAGGAAGTCACCCAGATCCTTACTCCATTCCAACTTTGGATCCATATCCTCTTCCCAAAAATCATTGATTCTGTCTTGCTATTGCTCTCCAACATCTACAGGATCTTACCATCTGCCCTGTTCCTGTGCCCATTGGACCTATGTATCACCTTACCTTTCCATCGCCCATGAAGCTGAATTCTTCTTTGTGTTTTGTCTCTCTTAATTAAATTGTGAGCTCCAAGGGGGAAGGGACTGTCTTACTTTTCTATTTTTGTCTCCAATACTTGGAAAATAGCAAGGGCTTACTAAATGCTTTTCCATCACATTTCATTCTATCAGGAAAGGATTCTCACAGGAGACACCTAGTTGAGCATTAAAGATAGCTAATACTAGCTAACATTTATACTGTATTTTATGATTTGCAAAATATTTTACACATAATATCCCATTTGATCCTTATAATAACCAGGGAAAGTATTAAGCACCATTTTTCCAGATAAAACTGAGGCTCAGAGAAAAAGCTAGGGAAACAAAAAAGTAGAAAGATGAAGATCTCAATTTTTTCCCTCCATTTTCAGCTAAAAATACTGTCTGGTCTTTTCTCTTTCTCTTCATTCAGAAAGATAATATATGTAGCTTAAGGTCAGTATGACCAGGAGTTTAGTTTCTAGATATTAAAAAGATCCCATTATGAAAGTGCAGGTTGAAGGGGAAGATAATGAGTTCTTTTTGGGACATGGTAAGTTTGAGATGTCTATGGCATAACAGGCCACTGATGATTCAGGCCTGCACCTTGGGAGAGAGACTAGGACTGCATATCTAGATTTGGGAACCATCTGCAGAGAGATGACAGCTGTAGCTCTGGGGACTGATGAGATCACCAGAGGGCCCCAGACAAAGCTTTGGGGAATACTGACCATATTAGGTATCACCTGGATGAAGAGCTATCCAAAAAGACTAAGCTGGAGTAGTCAGAGAGGTAGGAAGACAGGGAAAGCTGGAATTGGAACCCAGTTTTCTGACTCTAGATCCAGAACTTTTTCTACTATCATTTATTCCAAACACATCATTTTAGTGGAAACCAGAGCCCCAGGAGATGCAATCACTCATACAAGGTCACATAGTAAGCTACTGGCAGAACTGAAACATGACCAAGACCACATACTGGTTATTAGTAGAGCTGGTACCACAACTGGCTTCCTTATTCATAGCTTTAGGCTCAGAAACACCAAGATGAGAGTGTTTTGGACTAATTAATTTTCAGAGCAATATTTTTTAATTAAATGCCCCAAAGGAAAGCGATAGGCAAAAATCTGTATGCAAGACTACTGATTTAAACTCATTCTTGTCTATTAGCCCAGACTGAAATTAAAGAGGAAAAGAATATACATTTTGTAGTCATCTGTTAAAATTGCTGCTTAGAATTGATAAAGTTGGTGCCACCACTATTGCTTGGTGGCTCATAGCAGGAGGAAAACAGGAAATGGGAGTGGGATTGCCATTGTTTTTCCATTTAACTTGAGATTATTTAATATATGTCTGTGCCTCAAATTTCCAGGGGTCAAATGAGATTATTGGGAGCCTATTAATCATAAACTTCTATCTGAAAATATTGAACTGTTAGGAGTTGGTAAAAAAGAAAATGGAGAGAGCAGGGCAGCCCCAGCAGCTCTGGAGCCATGAGAGAGATCATCCTGGTTTATTCAAGTTTCTGATTACTTAGCTGATGTAAATCTTGGAACTGGGAATATCATAGCATCACAAGACCTTAAAACTTATGTGGTCTTTTACAACTTCTGCTTGGTTTCAACTCTATGGAATGAGATGCCCCCATGCCAGGTCCTCTGGTTTCTACCCCCACCCCTTTCTAGCTTCCTCATATGTTACCTTTCTTCATTTGATTGTAAGTTCCCTGAGGGGAGGGACAATATTTCTTATTCTTATTTGTATTCCCAGAGCTTAACACAGTGCCTGGCATATAGTAGGCACTTAATACATGCTTGTTATTTGATTGACCATGGACCTTAAAGACCATCCAATCTAATACTTTCATTTCACAAATAAGGGCATTGGCCCTAGAGAAGAGGAGCAATTGGCTCAATTGAGGTCACATAGAGAGTTAGGACACACAATGAGCCCGCACTCTTGACTCTGCCTACTGCCCTTTCTAATGGTCCACAATGACCTTGGTATATGGGTCTTGATAAGTGTGGTCAAGTTGGTGTCATCTTCACCCTTTCTTTTCTTCTGATCTTCCATGTGAAAGGAATTTTGCTGCTCACAGTCTGACCACATAGTCAAGGTTCCCTCAGATAAGTCTGGGAATTCAGGCCAAAGAAATTGGCACTTTCTGCATGTTCTGTCCATTCTTCTTCCTCCTCCTTCTATGATTCACAAAGCAAAGTCCCAGAGGCTTCTCAAAATGGTCAGCTGGAAGCCTTTTATCTCTGAGGACACATTTTTGAACTTGGCCAAACATGGATAATAAATCAGCCCATGAACTTAAGATGGACAACAGCAAACATTACAGCCAAAAAGTTCAGAAAGAAAGAGTACACCAGCTGATTTGTGCTTCTTTATCTCCAAACTGAAATCCAGATAATAAAGTGAAGTTGGTTCTCTCTAGCATAACTGGAATGTTGAATCCATAGAAAAAGTCAGATGAGGAAGTTCTGGTGACCAATAAAGAGCAAACAGATGTCTGATTAGGGGTGGCTTGGCTCCAACCAAAGCCAGCCAGCCAAATTCACTTATTACCTGTCTCTCTTCAAACTGAAAAAAGCACCAGGAGGCAGAATTACTGTTGCCATCAAGCAGGTACAAAGATGGTCATCAGAAGGTGAAACAAGTTGGGCCTAAGGTCATTGGGCAAGTGAGACATTGGTCCAAGTGCATGGGTCAGTGACAGACCCAGAACTGATGACCAAGCTTACCAGAAACCACAGGATTCTTTTACTGCCCAGACTCACTTCTCTGGAAAACTGCATTCAGTGCCAATTACCCTGATGCTGATGTAAGCTTCCAATGACAGAACATTTTAAGATTCACAAAGTGCTTTCCTCCCAATAATTCCATAAAGTCATTCTAAGGTAGAAAGATCATTATTTTTGTAGTCAAGAATGGGTTCACATCCTATCTGTGATGTTTACTGCCTATGTGACAACACTGAGCAAGTCATTTAGCTCCCTGAGTCTCAGTTTCTCCATTTGTAAAATGAAAGGATTGGACTACATAGCCACTAAAGTCACTTCGAACTCTAAATCTATGATTCTATGAATTCTGCAGTTATTATTATACTCATTTTACAGATGGAGAAATCGATGCTCTGGGAACTTAAATAATTTGCCCAAGACCACACAGCTTCCAAGCATCAGAGCTCAAACTTGTACTCAGGTCTTCTCATTCGAAGCTTTTGGTCCCTTGATTCTTTACTTCAGATCTGAATTGGTCCCATTGGATCCTGGCTCTGTGGAGTGGCCTCCATGCTCCACTTTGGATCCGTTTCTTTTTTTTTTTTTGCTAGGTATTGGGGTTAAGTGACTTGCCTGGGGTCACACAGCTAGTAAGTATCAAGTATCTGAGGTCAGATTTGAATTTGGGTCCTCCTGACTCCAAGGCTGGAGCTCTATCCACTGCGCCACCTAGCTGCCCCGATCAGTTTCTTTTTCCTAGCATGAGTGAGGTCATCCCTTTTTGTTTACATCTCTCTTAGTTGAGGATTTAGGGAAGATGAAGCTTCCAATACAAACATGAGATCCTGGGGAATTGTAGTGATGAAATTATGAATATGAAGAATTCAGAAATATGGGAAGACTTGGATGAACTAATAAGCATAAAATAAGCAGAACAAGGAGAACAATTTACACAATGATCACAATAATGGAAAAGAAAACAACACCGGAAGACTTCAGAACTCTGATCAACGCAGTGATGAATCATTTC